GCCAATTAAGCTTGATGTCCCCTGTGACTATGGTCCCAAGCCCACAGGTCCAACTATTCGCTCCCTCTGGGTAGCTGGCTGTGGCCAAGAAATGACTACAACCTTGTCCCTTGTCAGCTCTACTATACACCTGGGAATTCTTACAAAATATACCAATGCACTTGTAGAAACATTGTCTGCCAACCCTATGCATGGTCTTGGGCATGCTCCACCCTGCGTAGGCATACCTAATTGTTCAGCCTGTCCTCACATCTATCCACCCATATATCCATATTTGCCTTCACTGACAATGCAGTACTTTATGTACAAAAGGGTTCATCTTTGTTGTCTGTACCTCCCATGTACCTTTCTATGTCTTCCTCTTCCTCAGTGCCACCATGTTGATCACTCACATTTGGTATATTGCCCTCCTCTTCACCCAAAACAATACTTGTCTCTACCTATCTAGCAGTGTTTGCTGCCCTCTCCTCCCACCCCTGGTAACCAACGAAGAAAATTTCCTTCCATATATAAACCTTCCTTGACTTTTTACAATAGCAGACTAATACAATATTTGTCCTTTTGTGATCGACTTATTTCATTCAGCATAATGTCCTCCAAGTTCATCCATGTTATGCAGTATTTTGCAGACTCCACATTATTCTTTAGGGTTGCATAGTATTCTATTGTGTGTATGTATCATAGTTTGGTTATCCATTCCTCACTTGATGGACACCTAGGTTGTTTCCATCTTTTGGCTACTATAAATAGTGCTGCGATGAACATGGATGTGCATATGTCTGTTCTTGTCATGGCTCTCACTTCTTTAGGATATATACCTAGTAATGGCATTAACTGGGTCAAATGGTATTTCTAATTCTAACTTTTTAAGGAATCGCCATACTGCTTTCCACAGTAGTTGTATTGTTTTATATTCCCACAAGCAGGGTATGAGAGTCCCAATCTCTCCACATCCTCGCCAGCATTTGTTATTTTCTGTCTTGTTGAACTTTGCTGCTAGTGCTGGGGCAAGATGGTATCTCATTGTTGTTTTGATTCACATCTCTCTAATAGCTAATGATCTTGAACATTTCTTCATATGTTTGTTGGCCGCTTGAATACCCTCCTTAGTGAAGTGTCTATTCTTGTCATCTGCCCATTTTTTAATTGGAGTGTTTATCTTTTTGCTGTTGAGGTGTTGGAGTTTTCTATAAATTCTAGAGATCTCAAGTCCCTTGTCAGATATGTCGTTGCTGATTATTTTTTTTCAATCCGTAGGTTCTCTTTTGACTGTTTTGGAGAAGTCTTTGGAAGCACATAAAAATTTAATTTTCAGAAGGTCCCATTCATCTAGTTTCTCTTCTGCTGTTTGTGCATTTGGATTATGCTTGATAGTCTATTTATGACCT